CGATTGAGCCGGTCTCGGCGTGGAAGGGGGGTGGAACAAAGGAACTATTTGAGGCAGTTTGAGAGGGACTTGGGGTTCTACAGTGAAATTGTATAATAAGAACTAACTGGAACAGCAATAGGCAAGGCATATTGACATGGGAGAGAGGCATAAAGCAATCACAGGTGTTATTAGAGAGAGCTAAGACAACAACTGGTAATGCCGATAAAGTTTGGGCTGAGGCTAAACAGATAAACAGGACAGGGTACCGTGTAAAGGAACAGTCCAGCAGGCATCAGCTGTGCAGCTGAGTGATCATAAGGTCCAGTGAACAGTAATATGTGAGTCCGAGAGCAGTTCGAATTGGTACTACAGCACAGCGATCAGGAAGCACGGCTGTCGTTTGCGTGTGCTAGCGGGCCGGGGCTAGCAGATGGATCTTCGTGGTCATCGCAACGGGAAGCCTGTTGAAACCACAGATAATTACGTCGGCAGACCAGTCGTGATGGATCGGCGGTGCTCCGTGTCGACTCTAGGAGGTCTCGTCCGGTTGACAGAGAGGTAGATAGCCAGGAGATGTGCCTGACTCAAGGCTAGCTCAAGGTTGATTAGCCAACAAAAATGTTCATTTGGTTGCAGCTAGCTAGTTGCGATTATCCAGTGTTAAAGGTCCAGTGATTCAGTGATTCCGGCAGAAAATCCGATAGGTTCTGGGTCGATAACGCGCTGTTTAGACAGTGCAGACTGGCAGATAATAGTCCAGGCTAGAGCTGGCTGGTAGGTAGTGCAGGCCACGGACAATGGTGAAAAACCGCTAATGGTGGCTAATAGCAAGTAGCTAGTTAGCTGGTTAGCTGGCTACTCCCGTCCGGTAGACAGAGAGGTAGATAGCTGGGATATGGGCCTGCTCGAGGCTAGCTCGAGGCTAGCTGATGCTTGCTTCGGGGGCAGTGATGATTAGCCTACAGCAACATCCATTCGACATCCATTCGGTTGCGGCTAGCTAGTTGCGATCCGGAGTTAAGATCCAGTGATTCAGTTATTCCGGCAGATAATCCGATGTTCTGGGTGAAAACCGCTACCGGTGGCTAATAGCAAGTAGCTAGTTAGCTGGCTGGTTAGTTTCAACTGGAGATTCTAGATAAAGGTGAGTAAATAATAGAATCCGTTCTACATTGTGAGGCGGGTTGCAGGAAAATATATTTAGTAGAAGGATGAAAAGTGTGATAGGGAAATATATACGTAAAATACAAAAAAATACAAAAAAACTGCCTATTTACATGGACACACAAGAGAACACGATCACACTGCTATGCCATCTTGGATAATCTACCCACCTCATTCCTTTCTTTTAGCATGTGCATATAGTAAGTACCAGTGGTGTAAAGTACTTAAGTAAAAATACTTTAAAGTTCATCCCTACTGTATCTGATCTGGCGGACTCACTAAATTCTGTAAATGATGTCTGAGTGTTGGAGTGTGCCCCTGGCTATCTGTCGTCTGGTTTGCTTAATATAAGGATTTTTAAATTATTTATACTTTTATTTTGATACTTATGTATATTTTAGCAATTACATTTACTTTTGATACTCAAGTATATTTTAAACCAAATACTTTTAGACTTTTACTCAAGTGGTATTTTACTGGGCGACTTTCACTTTTACTTGAGTAATTTTCTATTAACTTTACTTTACTTTTACTCAAGTATGAAAATTGGGTACTTTTTTCCACCACTGGCAAGTACACCATCATGCTTTCGGGATAGGTGTCTTTTCAGATTCCACATTGATTCTTTAGTTGTGGACGCTAGATCACCACACACCCTCTCTTGCTCTTGGTCCTCGTCTTTGTAAGTCACCTTGACTTAGCACCTGTGTGTTTTATGAGTCTCTTTATGAAAATATTTAGCGAACTCCATGACAGTAGCTAAAGCAAGGGGCTATAGCAGCACACAAGTACACTACAAATGCATGCTGGGCCGGGCATGCCCTGAGCTCGTGAAGTGAGCGCTACTGGAGCGAAATTGGAGCGGGCGAGAAGGCTGAAGCTCCACCTTTGGGAATCACACTCCAGTCAAATTCGGCATGCTCAGCTCTTCGCTCTGCTCCAGCTCGGCTCTGCTCACATACTCTGGTGGGCACGTGTTCAGTGCCGCTCCAGTACGCTTCAAACCCCAGTTCTGTAGGCCTACTGTCATAATTAGGCTTTGAGGCAGACCAGAGGACTTTTAATAATGTAAACAGTCAAGGTGCAGCTCCTCCTATAGTTCTGTCAAAATATGGTGAAGTTGCATAATGAGGAATGTTATCATAGGCCACAGGCTTCATGATTTCTAAAAGTTAGAGGGGGAAATAAAATAAAAACTCAAACATGCAAATTAAATTAGCCAAACTTGGTCTGGCTAATATGCTAATCTGAACACACACAAAGGGGTGAATATAGGGTAAAATATTGTAACAATAGGCTTAAATCCATACATTGAAAGCAGTGGTCCTCTGTAGCTCAGTTGGAAGAGCATGGTGCTTGCAACACCAGGATAGTGGGTTTTAGTCCCGGGACCACCATTTACATTTTAGTCATTTAGCAGACGCTCTTATCCAGAGCGACTTACATTATTTTTTTTCATACCCCTTGTGGGAATCGAACCCACAACCCTGGCGTTGCAAACGCCATGCTCTATCAACTGAGCTACATCCCTGCCGGCCATTCCCTCCCCTCCCCTCCCCTGGACGAATTGCGCGCCGCCCCATGGGTCTCCCGGTCACGGCCTGCTACGACAGAGCCTGGATTCGAACCAGGATCTCTAGTGGCACAGCTAGCACTGCGACGCAGTGCCTTAGACCACTGCGCCACTCAGGAGACCACCCATAGCATATGTAAAATGCATACATGACCGTAAGTCGCTTTAGATAAAAGTGTCTGCTAAATGGTATATATTATTCTTCAGAGTGAAGTAACATAAGTTGTTGCGCTTCTACAAACTAACAGCCACTTGCATTCATTCACCAAAAGGTGTTAACTTAAAAATGTTCAATAGACGTGTTTCAGTTGTCTGGCAATCACATTTATATGCAGGTCCGGCAATAAAAATAAGCCTTGATTTTGATATGGCAAAACAGAGTGCCCTATTCAGTACAAGTTGTGAAACACCAGCAGTTACACCCCTCCCACGGCACGCAAATTCAGAGATGTCTACACCTCCGAGAATAAAGTGAGCCTCTGTCGCTGGACGAGTGCGTTTCAGACAGAGGCAGGCTGGCCCTGCAAAATATATAAACCAGTCAGGTTGGACATACTGCCCATTTTGGCACACCTGTAGGGGTTGGGGCAAGCCTACAAAAGTGAATCCCATTGTAGACTGTGGAACAACAACACATTTCATGAACACTGATAGTCACTGCCAGACTTCTTTTTCTAATCACATATTATATTGATAGATAACCCAGCCACTTTACCAAACTCAGATATTATAGATAGGTAGGCCTAGTAGTGTCCTTTTTAGATCTGGCATGTACTTTAACAACACTACTGCCAGCCATAATGGTGGCTTTGATTTACATTTACGTCATTTAGCAGACGCTCTTATCCAGAGCGACTTACAGTTAGTGCATACATTATTCTTTTTTTTTTTCATACTGGCCCCCCATGGGAATCAAACCCACAACCCTGGCATTGCAAACGCCATGCTCTACCTCCCTGCTGGCCATTCCCTCCCCTCCCCTACCCTGGACGACGCTGGTAGGTCTCTATAGCTAACTAGAGACTAGTCTCAGTAGAGGGCAAAGTTCTCACCAGTTTAAGGTCTGCTGTCCGCTAGGCCATGATTGGATGATGTCCTTTGTTTTATGGGAATATTCAGTACTGCCAGTAGGCACAAGAGGTCACTGTATCATCATCCTAAACAGAGCAAGAGATGCGCAGAGTTTAGAAAACCTGATTTGAGTTTAGAAAACCTGACTTGAGTTTAGAAAACCTGACTTGAGCTTTATAGTTCTTTAGGAGTGTGATATTAAGGAAGGGAGGAGGGTGCTTAGATGACTGAGATCAGATGGAGACCTACACTCTTAGAAAAAAAGGTGCTATCTAGAACCTAAAAGGGTTCTTCGGCTGTCCCCATAGAATAACCTTTGGAAGAACCCTTTTTAGTTCCAGGTAGAACTATTTTGAATTCCATGTAGAACCCTTTCCACAGAGGGTTCTACATGGAACCCAAAAGAGTTCTACCTGGAACCAAAAATGGTTCTCCTATGGGGACAGCTGAATAACCCTTTTGAAACCCTTTTCTCTAATAGTGTATCCTTGACTGATCCTCCCTCCCTGCTACTCTAATCTAACTATAATTGGGTGGAGGTTGAGGTTCATTTCCTAAAGTACTTGCGTTATTCTGCTCCAATCCCCAGTATCCTGAGGGCTTTGGGAAATTGTAATTTAATGATGAGCGAAGTGCTTACTCACCCAAATAAACTCAGCCCTCTTCTCTCTCTACCCCTGCTCTCATCTCCACTACTGTGGCCTCCACACATCAGACCAGACCATGAATTACTCCTCTGTCTCCATGGGCTCCACACAACAAACACGGTAGAGATACAGTAAGTGCTCTGTGAAAATGTCATAGCAAAAAAAATTACATCTAAATTATAACAGACTTGCACTGAACTGGATAAGAAAAAACAGGTTAGTTAGCGCTCCAGGGCAAGGTTCTCACCTGTAAGAACAGTTCCTGAGGTCCATCAGCTAAATTAGTCTAATCTACAGGTATGAGTGTGTTTCTCCCCTCTTCCATGTGGATGGCTATGAACAAAGGAGCTGCCTCAATCCCTAATCAGGCTAATGGTCTGTAGTTGACTGGTGACTGGGCTGATGGGGAAGGTAGAGTAGACGGGCCTAAGGGGGATCAGACAGGAGCCTGACTCTCTGGCAGGAGCTAGAGACATGGTGGTTACTAAGGCCCTGACTGGCTCCTGATTGACATGAGATGCTGGGATAAATAGCTGGGAGTTCCTCCCTGGGATCCATTATCAGGTGATTCTGCTGTCAGAGACATCACGGCTACTGGAGTTACTGCAGTTCCTGATTCAGAGGTTCAGTAGTGGTAGTTCTCTCCAGTGGAGAACCACTTGTGAGCCCAGATGAACCAGAGGAGAGGTACTCAGTGGTGAGTTATAACACTTTAGTTAGATCAGTCACACATACTCTGTATGTAGTTAGGGTCAGGAATCACTGAGATCTCTGGAATATTTCATTTTTTAGCTGTTGTTTTTAGTTTTTGCTAAATATGTTGCTTCATTTGATTGGTTTCATTAAAATGCCAACAATATAGTCTAAAAATACTAATGACATGAACTTGCTATACGCTAGCTATTTGAAGACTTTGCTAAAAGTGAGATAGAGAGAGAGCGTAATATGTTAGGCATTAGAGATAACCCTGAGGTGTGTGGTGTCTGTGTGGAGGTGGTGTGCTCTGCTGCTGTGCTGTACAGGGCTGTGGTCATGGCTTCACCCAGAGACACTGAGCCAGGCTTCAGCCGTCAACCTGCGCCGCTTCATTGGCTGTGCCGTCCGGGAGTTCACCTTCCTGGCCAGGAAACCAGGCTGCAGAGGGCTGCACATCACCACCGACGCCTGCTGGGGGCGCTGTGAGACCTGGGAGGTGAGGGCAGAGCGAGGGAGAGAGTCCTACGCAGTCAGACTGGCGAGAAGTGTTAGAAATCAGTAGATGTTAACAAAATCAATCAAATGGAAAATATAAAAGTAACTAAACTATGATGATTATTGTAGAAAAATTAATCACCCATGACATAATATTGTGTAATAAATCAGTAATAAAGTAATTGATTATAAAGTCATAACTGTGGAGCTTGTTGAATAAATGAACAGATGTTAATCTAAATTAACCATATCTCTGTGTGTGTCTCTTCAGAAGCCTGTCCTGGACCCTCCCTACATAGAGTCATACCAGCGTGTGTGTACCTACAACGAGACCCGCCTGGTGACGGTGCGGCTGCCTAACTGCTCAGCCAACGTGGACCCCATGTACACCTACCCTGTAGCCCTGAGGTGTGACTGTGGAGTGTGCCTGACCAGCACCACTGAGTGTATCTCGTCTGTTTGACTGCAGCACTATCACTGGCATCGGACCGGGAGAGCAGCAGCGCAGGACTTTTACTCTATGGAGCAAATGGAAATCACCTTTCTATTTCTTTTTCATCTTCAAGTCATTATTCAACTTGGAAAAACTTGAAACATGTTAATAAATAATGTTATCTGAGTCCGAATAGTTTATTTCAATTAGATATAGCTCACTCAGCTCTCTTCACTAAAAAAGCAGATGAGAAGAAAGAATAGTCAAGACATTCAGAGCATAGTGGTTGATAATGAACTTGAAATCATTCATAAAGAGCATATAAACGTGTTTTTCTAAGCAATATGAATATGCATGACAAGGAGCATTATATAATATCTCTCTACTCACCTGTCACTAAGGTGCTTCAGGGCGTTTGAGCTCTCACGCTTGGGGCATCTTCACTGTGTGGGTGGGGTTAGGGAGACTGTGGAGCACTCCCGAGACACTGCCACACACACACTCACTCTGTCACACTCGCGCAAAGACCCACGCACCAAAAACCGCACACACAGACACATACACCGGCACGCACGCACACACACACACACACACAAACACACACGCACACGCACACGCGCGCACACACACACACACACACACACACACCCTATGGTGTCAGTGGTGTCAGACTCCCTCTTGGTTCATCACAAAATCTTCAAGACTGAAAATGCTTTTGGGGTTTTCATGTTGTGGCACCAGGATAATTCAAAATGTCACATTCAGGGGTCAACAAAGTTCCACCATCTTAGGATGGGAGACATTACTGCGAGCGAGGGAATGAAGAGATCTCTGTTAAACATGACCATGGAAAAGCAACCAACTGTTCTACCATCTTCAGTCCCTGTTTGACTTCTCCTGACATCAGTAAAACCGGACAAAGTCGCCTTACTTAAAAAAATACATAGTGCCAACACGTTCAACCCAGTACACATAACTTGGAGCAGTGACCAGACCTGGGCTTCTGTGCACTGTCAGCTGGCCCTGTCTCCTGAGTCTCCCTCTGAAACACACTGACCATCTACAGAGCTGCCACTGTCAAATAGAAAATAGCTTTTAAAACTTTAACCACAACATAAAGAGGCGAGGTAAGAAGACATAGTTGTGTGTATCAAGAGAGCACCGTTTTGTGGCCCTGTTGAGAGCTGCTGTAACAGCCCCTGTTGTTGTAATCGTTTGTGACATTAACGCTGCTTCGTCCTCGGGCTGGGGGAGGAAGGGGGAGGAGGGTGGAAGGGGGGGACCTGTAATAGCTCCTGGCAGGAGGACTGAGGGGGGAGGCGCCCCTGGTGCCACACTGCAACATCCTAATGGAAAAAGAGGTGGCAGGATCTGAGAGGAAGCTACAGATGATGATGATGATAATGATGATGATAAGGATGATGATGAAGATGATGATGACAACCTGGACCTTCAGACCTCAGTCACAGCAGTGAACCCCTTCTCTGTCACACCTGCTGAGAGCCTCCATGATGTAACCACTGAAACACACAAGTTAAACGATTTTCACTCAAAAGGAAAATTCTAAACATAAACATTGTTAGCCTAAGCAGAGAACATGCTGAACCCAAATCCACCTCTAACTGACTGCTGTGAAAGAATGACCACATAATGTAGCTGGTGTTTTTACTAGAAGATCTATAGTGGTCCACATTGAGTGGAAGGGGATCCTGGTGTCTTGGTTTGTCAATCTTAGAAGTCTGATAATCAATGTCCTCATAAGAGAGTACACCAAAGAGAAGATCTTTAAATTGGTAATTTTAGCCACAATCAATACTAATTCAAGATAATGAAATGGCATAGGAATGCTCCAATATTGATGGATGTCCGTTTCGGAGGAAGAAACCCGGTGTCAAATCCTGTGGCCAAAAACAATTACGAAAAATAGGAATAGTCATCACGTCTTACATTGTCACACTCCCAGGAGTGATCAAATCAATGAGTTTATTAAGCTTTATTTTTTAGTATCTCTTGACAAGCCAATTTCTCTTGACTGTTTCTCTTTGGCTTGGTGTCAATACACAAATTATGGTAAATTAACCATAATAATTCCTCTGTCAACCTGCTCAGTCTTAATTGGTGGTTCAGATTCAAACCCTACTGCATTCTCCCTGTGCCTGAACACGGACTGTAGCTCCAGTGTTAATGACTCCTACTGGAATCAACACGACTCAACACAACATAGGAGTTGAGTGGACAGATTATTGCTGCCAAATCCAGCCCAACAAAGTACACTACATGACCAAAAGTATGTGGACACACACATCACATTCCAAAATCATGGGCATTGATATGGACTTAGAGGAAGGCCCTAAAAATTGTCAAAGACTCCAGCCACCCTAGTCATAGACTGTTTTCTCTCCTACCGCACGGCAAGCGGTACCAGAGCACCAAGTCTAGGTCCAAAAGGCTTCTTAACAGCTTCTACCCCCAAGCCATATGACTCCTGAATAGCTAATCAAATGGCTACCCGGACTATTTGCATTGTTCACTGTAAGGTCTACACCTTATTGTATTCGGTGCATGTGAAAAATAACATTTTATTTGATTTGATTTGACTTGGTCCCCTCTTTGCTGCTATAACAGCCTCCACTCTTCTGGGAAGGCTTTCCACTAGATGTTGGAACATTGCTGCGGGGACTTGCTTCCATTCAGCCACAAGAGCATTAGTGAGGTCGGGCACTGATTAGGCCTGGCTCACAGTCAGCATTTCAATTCATCCCAAAGGTGTTTGATGCTGTTGAGGTCAGGGCTCTGTGCAGGCCAGTCAAGTTCTTCCACACAGATCTCTACAAACCATTTCTGTATGGACCTCGCTTTGTGCACGGGGGCATTGTCATGATGAAACAGGAAAGGGCCTTCACCAAACTGTTGCCACAAAGTTGGAAGCACAGAATCATCTAGAATGTCATTGTATGCTGTAGCGTTAAGATTTCCCTTCACTGGAACTAAGGGAACTGGCCCGAACCATGAAAAACAGCCCCAGACCATTAGGTAGGTAGCGTTCTCCTGTCATCCGCCAAATCCAGATTTGTCCGTCGGACTGCCAGATGGTGAAGCGTGATTAATCACTCCAGAGAACGCGTTTAAACTGCTCCAGAGTCCAATGGCGGCAAACTTTACACCACTCCAGCCAACGCTTGGCATTGCGCATGGTGATCTTAGGCTTGTGTGCGGCTGCTCGGCCATGGAAACCCATTTCATGAAACTCACGAAGAACAGTTATTGTGCTGACATTGCTTCCAGAGACAGTTTGGAACTCGGTACTGAGTGTTTCAACCGAGGACAGACCATTTTAAAGTCCTTCTCTCTTCAGCACTCCGCGGCCCCATTCTGTGAGCTTGTGTAGCCTACCACTTCACAGCTGAGCCATTGTTGCTCCTAGGCGTTTCCACTTCACAATAACAGCACTTACAGTTGACCGGGGCAGCTCAAGCATGGCAGAAGTTTGACGAACTGACTTGTTGGAAAGGTGGCATCCTATGACGGTGCCACGTTGAAAGTCACTGAGCTCTTCAGCAGAGCCATTCTACTGCCAATGTTTGTCTATGGAGATTGCATGGCTGTGTGCTTGATTTTATACACCTGTCAGCAACGGATGTGGCTGAAATAGCCGAATCCACTAATTTGAAGGGGTGTCCACATACTTTATATAGTGTATCTAAGAAAATAAATATATTTAAAAAAATGTTTTTAAGTACCTCAAAACAATGATGGTAATGAATTAAAATGGGTTCAAATCTGACCATTTGAGTCTGCTCAGACCATTTCAGTCTGTTCATAATCAGAACCCTGTACGCGGCCATTAGTATTCCAATCACACATCAGAGACATCTGCCAAATATCTGCCAAAGTGAAGATGCTGGGGGATAGGGCTAATAGATAGATAGACAGATAGTATCAGCTTTGCAAATCACATTTCTGGGAGATCCGATTTAACTACTATACGGTATCACAGATTGAACTTTGCGATGAAACTTTTGCTTCTTAGTCATTTCAAAGTATAAAGAGAGAATACATTGAATGAGTTTTTTCTATTGTACTTTTACCAATTTTTTGTGATATCAAATTGTTAGTTACGGTCTTGTCCCATCGCTGCAACTCCCCTACGGACTCGGCAGAGGTGAAGGTCGAGAGCCATGCCTCCACCGAAACACGACCCTGCCAAGCCACACTGCTTCTTGACACAATGCTTGCTTAAACCGGAAGCCAGCCGCACCAATGTGTCGGAGGAAACACCGTCCAACTGGTGACTGAAGTCAGCTTGCAGCACCCGGCCCGCCACAAGGAAATCCTGGCCAGCCAAACCCTCCCCTAACCTGGACAACGCTGGGTCAATTGTGCACCGCCTCATGGGTCTCCTGGTCATGGCCGGCTGTGACACAGCCTGGGATCGAACCCGGGGCTGTAGTGACACCTAAAGCACTGCGATGCAGTGCCTTAGACCGCCACGCCACTCAGGAGGCCCTGAATGAGTGATTCTGACATCCTGCAAATATTCCAGTAATAATACATTCCCATTCCTGTAGAGAAGCAAATTTTCAAGTGGACAATTACACTAGAAAGCCCCAGACAGAGATGTCCCAGACAGTCGTTTATTTAGCTGACGCTACAGTTAAGGTGTACAACTGTAAAACAATACATGAACCATAGTGGGAATAATCAGTGCTACTTATTAAAGCCATTGCTTTAAAAAACAGTAGAAAACAGCAGTATTCCAGTAGAAAAGGATTGGAGCTTATAGTCCAGGTGTGAACAAATGCTTCCCAATCCTGCCTGTCCTGTCCCCATAGGGAGAGGTATCCAGCTAGCACACCGACAGAGAGAAAGAGGCTATATATTAGTATGCTCAGGACACAGTCAGTGAGTTTCTCTAGAAGTTCTTTAGAGAGGAGAGAGAGAAGAGAGAGGGGTAGAGAGAGAATGAGAGAGTACGCGAGAGAGAGAAGAAGAAATGTGAGGGATTGAGAGAAAGTGAGAGACCAGTGTGAGGTGTAAGAGAGAGAGAGAAGAGAGGAGAAAACAGTGTCAGGTGAGAGAGGGATGGAGGGTGCAGCTATACATTCAGATGTTACAGGAGGGGGTCGCAGTTCCGGAGCGATCCACTAGGTGTCCT